ACGTTGTTTATAGATAGGATAAAAATAAATACATAGCTTAGAGTATTTATTTTTTGACCTACTCTTTTTTTTTTTTAAAGAGAGAGAGAGAGAGAATTTTTTAATATTTATTTTTTAGTTATCAGCGGACACAACATCTTTGTTTGTATGTGGTGCTGAGGATTGAACCCGGGGCTGCACGCATGCCAGGCGAGCCCACTTGAGCCACATCCCCAGCCCTGACTTACTCATTATTATTATTATTATTATTTTAAATTATTATTTGGATTTTTTTCTTAGTTACATTGTTTTAACTACATCCTTTAAACTGATTCCAGTTTGGGGAGGAAGCTCTTTGGTTATTTGCTTCATCCCATGGTTTTTCATCAGAGTTAAAATTAGTACTGAAAAATGTGCTTCCAAAAGGAAGTGGAAAAAACTTCCTGCTAACTTAAGACAGAAAATGAAAGAACAGGGTATGATGGTGGTGGGTGGGGGCAGACAGCAGAGAACACAAGCTATTAGTTCATGATCGAATACAATTGTTGTTCTGAAAATGCCGAGAGCCTGTTAATCTCAAATATGATATTAGTGCCAGCAGTCATAATTTGGGTTTACATCATATATGCAAGCAAGATATTTCTAACAAACTCATCCACCTTGGGTTGCAAAAGCTGGTAGAGATGGTATTGCTCTAATCCAAATTATGAATCATCTCTGCGAATCAAATGTTCTGAAATTATAACACACTCCGTAAAGTTCTCTGTCAAAAGGCTCTGGACTATGCACCTGCAAAGGCAGTACACAAGCATCATGCTATTGTGGACTAAAATGGGCTCTAAGTCCTTAACAGATGGCTTTTCTTATTGTGGCATCAATTAAATATATCCAACAAGTTAACGTCCCTTTAATTGTATTAGAAACACAGACTTTGCCAAGATGGGACACTGTATCTTTAAACACGTTTTGAAAAGCAAATCATTTTCTCTGAATGTAAATTATCAAATTCTCTCAGGATGATAAATACAGTGTCTTCTGTATTCTAAATACAGGTTACTGATAGGAATTTAATGTAATCCAATTTAGTGTTCAGTAAAATTTTAAATGGCCTGGGCCAAACTTAACATTGGTTGATTTCAAAGAAATAGCAACCTTTTTCATTCTTGTATATGAGCCTTGTGTTTTCATTCATCATTTACAGCGAGTTATCACATGCTAGGCACTGGGGATATGAAGATGAGAAGAAAAACCTCATAGATTCTGGAACTCAGAACAGTGCCTGGCTCATACTAGATGCTCAATAAATAATAAATAAATAGACTGAAAGTAGGAAAGGGGGAAGGGGAAGAAGAGAGAGAAGATGAAGGACAAGATTTCTTCTGTGAATAATTTACAAGTCCTTGCATAGAGCTGTAGAAAAGTCCTGGACTGGAAAGCAAGACACCTGGCTTCCCATAATCTGCCCCTAACTACCCAGAAATCTGGGAAAGTTACTTATTTTTTCTGGACTTTAATTTCCTTGCTGATGAAATGCAGGACTTGTGTTCAATTTCTCTTTAAAGTTCTAGGTGGCTACAAATAACACTTTACCCACAAAAGCAGTCATTTCTTTTTCTTAGCAGGCTTTGTGCACCCACAGTCACCCTGTGGCCCTGTGGCAGGAGCTCAGTTTACCTTCTCCACTCCTGCTCATCACTAAAAAGCATCATACCTGAGGATAGTCATCTTCTTCCAGCCTTCAACCTATATCCTAAGGATAGATATTGCTTTCTCCTTCTGGCCATGTCCTGCCCTTTCTCTCTCCTCTTTAATGAAAAGAAAAGCACACAGTTCAGTTGTGCCCAGATAAATAGGACAGTGCCTGCAGCTCTCAGTCAGAGAGACCTACAGGGGATCCAGGGCCTTTTGGAAAGAGGAGTGCTCTTTGTTGGACCCATGGAAATCTCTCACATGGGTGGCCCCTAAAATCTGAAATGGGTCTAGGGGAAATGACCTTGGATCTCAGGGCAGAGCAGAAGGAAATAAAAGGTCCTGGTCTATCTTGCTGGGTAACAAGTGTTGAGATTGCTAATATTGCTTTCCTGTCCGGGCTTTGCTGCTGCCTTCTGGGCCCCCATTAAAAACTTCTTATATGACAATTACCACCTTTTGCTTTTTCAAAATGTCACAGAACCTATTTAGCCCATAGATCACCTCCTGCAAGGCTACAACTTCTCTTTTAAATATTGCATTAATCGTTTATATCTCGGACATGGTGAGTTATTAGCTTGGCAACAGAATGGTTTTCCCTCTTGGCTCTCTTTATTCTTTCTCTTATTGTTACAGAAAAGCCAAACCAATAATTCACAATGGACACTTATGTCATGTCCCCAGGTCTAAACAATGCTCATTTGTTTCCACCTGTCATTCAATGCATATTGTACACTGTAGAGGCATTAACTCACCCCTCCCTCATGCCCATCAAGGACAAGGCCTACCTTCTTGTGCACATCATCTGAGAGTCACAGGATGGTTTACAGCTGAAGAGATGGAATGAAAGGACTTGAGGATGCTGCATTCAAGACCCAGAGCTGGTGTAGCTGTGCCACAGACCAACTGTGCATCCTGGGAAAATTCCCTTAACCTCTCTAAGTTCTTCTCTATTATGATAAAGATTACCTCTAAGCTTTGAAATTCTATATGATCATCAGATTCTTTACTGTCCAAAGTATATCAGAGAGAAAGAAAGAGAGAGTAGTGATGGCAAAAGCTGACATTTTAAACTCGAGTTGATAAAGAGTAGGATAATATACTGTAAGAAAGCAGTGGTTGGTATTGGGATATAGGGGACTTCCCTTTTGAAATTAGACTGCTTATGTGACAAATGCTCAGTTCTTTGGAGTAGGTGTCCTTATCTCATATCCTGCCTGGATCTTTTATTTCTGATGGTCTTAGGTGAGTCATTTAAATTATCTAACTCTCAATTTCCCCAACTTTAAAACAAGTGCATATTGTGTCTAGTTGGTGATGGTGTGAATGGGGTGCTATGTGGACTTTGAGAAGCAGTTGCCTATGTCACTGTGTCTGGCAGGTCATGCCCTGGCACTGTGACCACAGGCATCTATGCTACCACACTGAGTCCTGCACCAGTGAATGTCTGTACGCTATCCTTGTGTTTATTTCCTTGGCATGTGTGTGCATGTGTGTGCATGTGTCATGGCTGAATGGCTGAGACCAACTAGGCTTGTATATGGTCCCCAGCCTAGCCTCCCTTGGAGCTGTTTAGAGGAGAACGCACTGGTGACTGTGGATAAGTTGCCATTTTTGTAGAGGAAGGACCTGCTTTGGCATCCTAATGGCTGAATGAGATTTTTTTTTAACTAGTATTATTTTGCAGATACACAGATATAGAACTTGACAAAATAACTTGAAATAATTCAGTAAACCAAGTAAAGAGCTTTATTTTGAACCTAAATCTTTTCATCCCCAATACTTGACTTATGTTTTCCCCCCATTATATGCCCACTTCTTTGCAGAAAAGATAACAAGATTTATCTTAAGGAACCACACAAGACATTGCTGATATCAAGGGAAATTCAGAAAGGCCACATACAGTTATAATTGGTTAGATTTTTCTGGAGTCATTGCTGTATTTCTTTCTTCTTTACTATTAAAGACATCTCCAAATGACAAAATCAGAAAGAAGGCACAGTGTTGAAAGGCAGCTGGTTAAGGAATCGGACTGAAATACCTGTGCTGCTGCATGTTCTGTGGTTACGATTGCTCTAGTGTGACCAGTGCTGTCCGTGTTGCACGGGGTTTGCACGCACCCTGTTCTGTGATCAATGCTTTCTCCAGCAGAAAACCACAAAGGCTGCATCTTCCCTACCCTGAGACACCATGACTGAGTAGCCATCAGCAGAGAGGTGCATGAGCCCTGAACAACTTCTGCAGGATCAGGGTGAATTTTCACCCAGCCAATGTCTTCTTCCTCATCCCTCTGGCCATCACTCAGAACAGAGTCGTTCCTGTCCTCATGATCTCTAAGTGTCCTTATCTGTCGAGTGTGACCACAGCTGTCTTGTGAGATGTCTGACCATTTTCAAAACAGCATGTGCAGAGTGATTCACACAACAAATGACAGTTATTCTAACAGAGACATTACTACTCAAAGTCACATCCAAGGTCTTTGTCATTTAACACAGAAATGACACCAACTGAGCCGAGCTCAGCTATAGTCATCTTCTTTCTATCTTTTAAACATCTGCTAACACTTGGGGATTAAAGTAATGAGATAAACACTTTCCATTAATAAATATTCTTAAAGGAAGCTATCTTTGAAATTTTTTATCTAAGACTTGCATGTTTGTTTACTAGTCTTAGAATGATGAAAAATTATCACTTAAGCAAAGGATGTCGTTGTAGTTATCATTTTTGAATAAATGCTGGCTTTTAGGCCTATGAAGAACATTTGAGTTCACAGGATTCTATAGGCATTGCAGCAAGAACCTAACATGTTTTGTTGTTATTATTTTTAATCTCCATTTATTTAACAAAATGTATGCAGAGTCTGAATGAATCTTTTATATAAACCATTCATTTATTTATTGAGCACCTACAACCTTCCAAGGGCTACAATCAAATGCATTGTTGAGAAGCCAGGATTCTGAACTCTTGCATAATAACATAGCAGGTTAAATAAACCATGAAACATGATCTTCCTGCCTGCATATTACTCATCATATACTGAGATTAATGAAATCTGTTTTTCTTCCCAGGATTGTTACAAAGATCAAAAGAAATAACAAACATGAGACCCTGTGAATAATTAAAAGCATTTCAAAAATATAAGTGTTAAGACTAGTAAAATGTTCAGTTTAGATTTTTGTTCTGTTCATCTGTTTGTTATACTGAACTACCTCTTTCTTTTTAGATAGGATTTTATTAGGCTGAATAGCACAGAAACCCCAAACTAAATGGCTTAACTGGAAAACACTTATTTTTGCCAAATAATAAAAATAAATGAGGCCAGACAGCCCAAGTTTCAGCAATGCTGTGAAGGACTCAAGTTTATTCCATTCTAGCCACAAAAACCATGGAGTTTGACTTTCTTCCGCATGATCATACTATGGCTGCTTCACCTCCAGGATTGTATCCACATTCCAAGACAACCTCCTCATGAGATTTTGTCAGGTAACTCAAGAATTAAGAAGCTCTCTTCAACTCATTTTTCTTGCATTCACTTCATTGTCATCTTTAGAGGAAAGGATATTTGAGAAGATGTTTCAGACTCCTAGCCTTTAAAAGAATGACAGGGTTGTAAATGGTCACAGTTGTGGAGATTCAGCTTCATGTAAATTAAACTTTAGTAAATATTTTTGATGTTTCCTATATTTCTCACCTGTGACTTCAAACTGTACAACAATGATGAGTCACGTGTGCTAAAAGCTGTAGTGAAATTCTACCCCAAGATGGTTGGAAGCAGTTCTGAGTGGGTACCTTGAAATTGATGAGTGGTTCAAGTTACCTCTAACTGGTCTCCAATTGGCTCTGGATTCAATTATTACCCAACCTCTGACAACCTATTTCTAATTCAAGCTACAAACTGTGGCCTCCCCCACATAAGATGGCCAATTTAATAATAAACAAATAAAAAGAATGAGATCCCTTATTATAAAGAGCACAGGCCAGCCTTTGTGGTTGCTATAAAGAAACAACTCCGTATAATTATTGTAGACCCAAAGGTTAAAAAGGAAATTAAATAGACATGTACCTAGAAACCATCTCTAAGAATCAAATTTTGCTCCGAAATATAGGGGAACTGGAGAGGTTGGAAAAGCACGTGTAACTCTGACCACCAGGGCAAGAACCAGGGAAGACTGAAAATAGAATAAAGAAGGCAAGTACATAAAAATGGAAGAAGAAAGCAGTTTCTGTAATAAGAATGTGTTAGGGTTCTCCAGAGAAACAAAAACAGTAGGGTGTGGGTGTGTGTGTGTGTGTGTGTGTGCATGCGTGTGTGTGCATGCGTGTGCACACCATCATGCCCATGCACACTGTCATGACTGACCAAAGAGTATACAAAACTGACACGTGCAAATGTAGAAGCTGTCAGTTCCCAATACTGCAGGGTAGGCCTGCAGACCAGAGATCCAGAGAAGAGCTGACACTGTACTCTGAGTCCAAAGATAGTCCCTTGGCAGAATTCTCTCCATCTGAGAAGGTCAGGTGTTTTTTTGTTGTTGTTTGTCTGTCTGTTTTTTTAAATTTCTTACATACATGACAATAGTGAAGTGCATTACATTCATAATTATCCATTCACAGCACAATTTTTCGTAACTCTGTATATAAAGTATGTTTGTCTGTTTTTTAAGGCCTTCAGCAGATTTGGAAGAGGCCCACCCAAATTCTCCTTCACATTCCCCCACAGCCCTGTCTGGCTATTACTTTTTTGATTCCTCAGCCCAGTGCTTTTGTTCACATCCTGTTTTCTCGGTCCTCTTTCTCCCACGTCAACTCCAGGCTGCGTGGAGGCCCTGGAACTGCATAGGCCATACTGGGAAGAAGGGGAACAGAGAAGAACCCTGGACACAGGGGTGCAGGTCTGTGATGCCAGTGACTCTGGAGTCTAAGGCAGGAGGATTGCAAAATCAAAGCCAGCCTCAGCAACTTAGGGAGACCCTGTCTCGAAAAAGAAAAAAAAAAAAAGAAAGAAAGAAAAAGGAAACTATGGATGTAGCTCTGGGTTTAAAGCCCAGTATGAACACACACACACACAAAAGAAAAAATAAAGAGAGGAGAGATGAATGAAAATAGATACACAGAGAAAAGCAGCTATCCAGGGCTGCCTGAGGACTCTGGCCACTTTCTAAGTCCACTTGCAGCCTACATGTGTCATAACAACACAGCACCCTTCTCTTCATTAAGGAGGCTTATGATAATCTTTTTATCTTTGTTTTTTTCCCTTATGTATGATATGTGATCTGAACCCTTTGGATAATTTAACTGGGGGAAAGAAAATTAGTAGAAAGTGCTTTTTTGACTACTGCATCAAGCTGTTTTTTTCCAATCTAATACTACAAGTATTTTTAGTTTCCCCCTCAAATTAAGATAATAATAGCTTGCTAAGTGGGAAAGAAAAGTACATCTAAATATTGGCATCCACTTTTTGATATTAACATGTACAAAATGTGGTAAACATAGCTATAAGTACATCAGAAGGGATATGCACTAAAATATCAACTGTGGCCATCTATCAATGGGGATACTATTAATATTTTTTCCTCTCTACTTTTATTATGTATATAAAAAATGAATTATTTTTTTTAAAAAAATTAATATGTGATTGTGAATACTGATGCCACTGGATATCACCCCCATGTTATTTCTCCCCCATGTTATTTCTAAGGGCAAGTTCCTGGGAATAGTTCCAATTACTGAGACAAGTTCAAAGGTTTCACACTTTCCCTCCCAAATCAGAGTGACTGTCAAAAACCCAAGGAAAGGGGCAGCCCTGCAGTCGGACATTGAGATGATGTCGATGGTCTTACCTGAGCCCTGGCTAAGCCATTTCAAGACCTCTATTCCTACAACTCCTGGTTGTCCTTTTCATACGGGTCCCGTTTTGCTCTTGAGATTTAGGAGAAAATGCCTCAGGCTGAAAAGTTGGGTTTTTTGTGTTTTTTTTTTTTAAATGAAGCAGAGTTTGTTTTTGTAATATCTTGAATTAAAGTGATCTAATAAACTTACTAAGGTTTTATAAGATGATTATTCAATCTTACTTTATTATTATAAGGCTACTTAGTAATTGCTTTGAAGTAGAATCTATTTGTAATTTGCCATCAAATAGGATCTTAATAATCAAGAAATTGTTATTTTTTTATGCCACATTAATCACTAAATTGAGCCAAGAAATGACAGAGTTAATGCTGATGAAACTATTCAATCTTTAGCAGGAGACTGGATGAAACTATTTGATCAAACCTATGCGTTAATTCATCCTGAAAAAGATAATAAATAATTTAATCATCCTCTCTCTTTTATAAATTCAATTAAATGCTGTTTTGTTCCTATAACCACAAACCTCCTGCCATCACTGCATTCCCAGAATTTTTTCTATTGCACATTGACACCACTGAAGGGTAAATTACAGCCACCAAACAAAGGGTAATAGCATGAATTCCAGATTCCAGATTCTATCCTGTATATTCCACACTGGCTCAGTGGTATAGAGCAGCAGGTTCCCTGAATTCCTGGGCATCTCTTGTTCCACCCACAGTGTTCCTCTGACCACAGTGTTCCTCTCTATGTGTGGTTATCTCAGTGTTGCCATGGCATATACACGCGTTGACTTCCTCTCAAAATGACAGGTGCTTTAAGGTCAAGGACAACCTCTAATTCACTGTGAAGTAATAAGACAAAAATATATTGTTTAAAGACAAAGCTGACCGTCGCAGCTTCTACCCAGTAGGTAAAGAAACGCCACCGTATTATTCAATGAAAAAGACTTTCCCTGTGCCCTCTTCTCCTCCCAGGGACTTTATAAGGGAGAAAAAAGGCTGAAATTGCAAGACTTCTTCTGTCTGGAAACTGGAATATGCATCCCATTGTTTAACAGAATGCCTTAAGGGTGTCTCTCCACATGGTATATATTCAAGGTGTACTCAGAGGAGTCAAGAATAATTTGCTCTCCATAATATGGTTAAGAAAATTGAGTTTCATTGAGCTTATGGGTGGGGTTCCAACTAAACCAGAAGTCTGGATGATGGCTCTCCAACTACATGTGGGAAAGGACCAGATTTTGTCCTTTGGGTTTTTGTTTTGTCTTGGGGATGGGTGTGGCTTAATTTCCAGTCATCACTGGCTGGCTGTCAAGCCTTACTCTCAATCTCTGTACTTAGCTCATGGTGGACTGATAGCACAGCACACTCTGAGGAGCACGGGTCCCAGGTGGGAAAGCTGAAGAACTCAAGAACGAGAAGGCCTAACATCCACCATTAAGTTGTCACTGACCTATGTGAACCCACGTATCGTCATCTTTTAAAACTGTGGTTGACCTGCAAATGTTCTGTGAGAATAGACTTTGTTCTGGCTGTTGCTGAAAGTTAAGGAGTTAAAAAACAGGAGAGAGCTCTATGTCTTGGTCTGGGTGAAACAGAGACAAGAGAGGGGAATAGATGGTGTTACAGGGAAGCTCTGTAAGTCCAAAAGCTTGAAGCCAGAGTGAAACAGGATATAATCTCCACTCATTGCTAACTGCACAAAAGGACACAGATTAAGCAAAGCTAAGTTTATTGCTTATTGCAATAAGGGAGATCTCTACTTTGACAGAGTCTTAGTAGCATCTGGAAAGAGAGAGTACAAAGGAAAGATATTTGTAAGAGACTGAATTAAAATGGATCTTTCTATGTGGGAGCCTAATTATGACTGAGCACAAATTGTGATAATAGTTTAAAATTGGCAGACAGAGTGAGGCAAGGGTTTTGAAGGAAGCCTCAAGAATAAATTCTGTGGATAATAGCGTCATCTATTTGATAAACTCAGTTGAATAATGTTCTGAGAAGAAAGCTATTTGCCCCCTGATAGGTTACTTAGGTAGTCTGTTGAAATAAATAAATTTCAGAGAGTTCATGAGACAAACATCCTCTTGGGTATGAATTTCTGAAAAATAAAGTCAGGTTAACGCAGAGGTTTGAATAGCAAATGTATTCTGTAAGACAGTAAGGAGTAGGTTCCAGTTCTGAGGTACCAGTGGATACAAACCTTGTAGAAGACATTAGATTCCTCGGAGGTGGTGGAATTGGAATTTGATCTCATGTGACACCTGAGTTATATTTGTTAACCCTGTCATTCAGTAGTGTCAGACATATAGTAGGGACCAGTAAAGACTTATGAGAAATGAATGATAAGTAAATAAATCAACAAGTGGGTGAAAACATCACTGTAATATTGTCTACTCCAAACCCTAAATCTCTAATATTTTAATGTCCCTATCATAATGACTTCTTATTTCATAATCTATTTCATTAACAAAAGAAGAAAGAAAGAAAGAAAGAAAGAAAAGAAAGAAAGGAAGAAAGAAAGAAAGAAAGAAAGAAAGAAAGAAAGAAAGAAAGAAAGAAAGAAAGAAAGAAAGAGAAAGAAAGAAAGAAAAAGCAACCATGCTAAGCCTCAAACATGAGTGGATGAGCATGTCTGAAGATGGGAGACCCAGTGGAGTTTCATATAACTCTTCCTGAGTTGGTTGGAAATCAGGTCTCTCAGCATCAGTGCTATGGAACCTCAAGGTGACCCAGCCATCAGGGAGTACTGTCTCTGCCACATGAGGCAATCAGAGCCCTGAACTCTGATTCCTGTCTGATATATTCAATGTGAGTTCTCCTTTTGTACTTTTTTAATTTCTGCTTAAAGAGATCCTCTGACCTCATAGCTGACTGATAGGACTTTCTCTTACCAGGCAGGCAATAATTTCAGCTTTGTTTCAGATCTCTATTTGGTAGTCCTTATTTCTTAATGCTTAACAATTTTTAATAGAACTCAGAGAAACAAGGGCTAAGTACATTATTAAATAAATTTTAATCACTTTGTCAATTAGATTCCAAGATGATATGTTTTTGCAAATCTGTAGATCAACTGTTATTAAATTTCATCATAGTATAATTTTAAATTGCATTTTAAAGATGGTGGCATATATGTGCTGGTTGAATGGTTATGTATTTCAAACACATATTAAACCATTCTGTGGATAATAGCATCATCTATTTGAAACTGGAACTGCCCCCCCCACCCCGCAGAATATCTAAGACATTTGTTCATGAGTGCTCACAGTGCTCAAATTATATACATTGCTTTCTATATTGCTTGAAATTCTATTAGAGATGGCTTTGAAAAAACACCTTTTATGTGAGTGGTGGTGAAGATCTAACCCAGGGCCTCTCAAACGCTAGGCAATCACTCACCACTGAGCTACATCCCCCAATCTGAAGGAAGAGCATTTTAAAAATTTCTGTAGAAAGTATGGGGAATTACATATATGGATATAAATTTGGTCAAATAAGGGCATGTGATTTGGAAGATATCATAATAGATACTAGATTTGCTACCTCACAGGGCTCTTTAGAACAGAAAGTATGTGCTGTAAGTCAGCAAACCATGGGAGGTTTTAATGACCAAAGAGGGATGGGAGGAGCCTCTTCTGTACCCATCAGGAACACTCCCCACAGTTGAATTACAAGAAGTCTGATCTCAGTCAGTACGTGAGTGGGGACCTGGCTATGGAGTTTTTAGGACAACTTTGTCACTAAAATACTATACTCTCTAAGCAGAAGGGGAGAGAAATCTTAGCTCTGTACTTTTAGGATATTTTAGTTTTGTTTGCTTCTCCAGCTGAGCTTAGGCTTCCAGCCTGATAGACTGCATTTGAAATGTCCTGTTGGAGAATTCAGTTCATTTATTTTTAATTAAAATTTTATTAAGCTTATAAAACTGGTGTGGAGATTAAAAGCGGATAGTACAAATTACATATGTGATGTGGTGACATTAAATATTCACCCACCCAACTAATTTGGGTAACTTGAGAGTGAACAGCAAAAAAAAAATAATAACCATGGCTTCCAAATTTGCTCTCGTCCTTCTCCCATCAATTGTCCCTGAACACCTCTCTCAAGAGCAAATGTTTCTAGCCTGCTAGGCTGCTTCTAATTGATCCCTGTAAATAAATAATACCTTATCAGTTCATCTGGGTAGAATAATAAGGATGGGAAGTGGACAGTCGTTTGCCTGTTACAATCTCAAACAAGGAAAACAATTACACAATCAACAGAGCCCATCCAGCAAACACAACAGACACCATGCAATGATGAGAGAGCTGAGTGCACATTTGAAGATGTCTCCAACAATTCCAGGACCTTCAGAAAAGGCTAATAGGGCTGCAGATATCTGGCCTGATTTCTATCCTGGTAGGTAGACAATTAACACTAGACATTCTGAGGAGGGCAGAAGAACCAAAAACCTACAGTTTAATAGAGAAAGATGTTGTAGTTATCGTTTCTAAATCCATGATGTATTTCATGTTTCTATACTCCATGGAGGTTGAGAGCAATAGTTAACACAGCACAGGTTTAGGAAGCTAAATGATCTACCTAATGCTATTCTAGAATTCTAGGTGATAGAGTGAGGGTTGGATCTAGCTCCAAATCCTAGTCTTTCCACTACACCAACAGAAATTCTAGATCCTAGGCAATTACGTATGTATGGGTATGGTGTCTGTGTGTGTGTGTGTGTGTGTGTGTGT